TCCTGCAACTGACAAAATTCCTCCCCATGCTGCTTTGGCAGTTAAGGAGTCTTTGCCTTTGCCATTGTTCTAGAAATGGAAAGGCCTCAATGTTTCTACTCAAATCTGTTCACCATTCCCAAGCTGAAGGGGGCATTGGCCCCAATTTGGATCTCAAGGTATTTAATGATTTTATTTGAGTGCAGAACTTTTGCATGGAATCCACCAGGTCTGTCCTAGCTTCCTTTCATCAGGGAGACTTCCCACCACATCAACACTACCTCCATTTTGCTGTGAGCTCACTAGTTTGTTGCCCTTCCATTTGGTAACTCATAAGGTTGCCTTCCTAATCACCATCACCTGTGCAATGTGTGTTTCTGAGTTATTGGCCTTGTCTTGTGAAGAGCCTTTGCTTATTCTCACAAAGTCCGGAGCCTCCTTTCTGCCAAAAGGTGATCTTATTGATTTGCAAAGCCGCCACCTGGTCTTCCATTCATTCGTTGTCTTACCAGGTGGATATTCAGGCCTCAGCCGATGCAAACTTTTGAAGTAAGGTCCTATGGGCAGCTCTTTGTCCTGCAGGCTGATCCCAGTTTTTTCACTGTAGTACTTACCATAAAATAATTTTTCATAAAGTTCAAGTGACACAGGTCCCATGCCTTTGTGTTTTGTGATCTACTATACTGTTTTTCTACAAAACTGAAGCATGCTCGAAGTGGAAGGGGTTATGCTTGGCTGGCTAACCTATTTTACAGTACAAAAATCAAATTTTCTGCTGCTTTACTCATAGTTACTGACAATAAGCTTGCTGCTTGTTCATTTATGCATTTCAGTAGTATAACCATGAGGAAAAAAACAGACTGAAGGAAGTGCAGAATTTTATGAGTTTTTTTGTTTCTTCTTTCTTTGAAGCTAAGGGCGATGATCCCCCAAGGTGCATTGGAAAGGCAGAAGCTTGCCTAAGCTGCTAGGGACCAAGAGATGCTAGGAATCATTTTTTTTTTTTGCACATTCTGTTGTGTTTTTTTAGATTTTTTAAGGCATGGGTCAGTGCATGTTTACTTTTAAGTCTGCTTTGAATACAGTAAGCTTCTGAAAACATTCTATTTGACTGAAATATTTATTTTCTATTACAATCCAATATCAAGAATATAAAAAAATATATATTTTGTCTTACTGTTTTTCCAGGGACTTTTTTTGTCTGCCTGTTCATGGTAAAAGTATTCTCAGGTCTTTTGAAAGTTGTCTTATTTGTCGAGCAAACAGTTACTAAAACTACAGAATGTTTATGTATGCATAATATCAAACCCTGTAGATACTGTATGTGTTACATCATTTCTGCTGCTGGCTATGCAGGTGGTTATCTGTGTTCTCTTACTCAATTTTCCTTCCAGCCAAAGACTGAAAAAGATTATTGCTGTATAAAAGCATTCTACAAATGTAAATGATTCTGCTTTAGTTCATCCAAGGCCTTGTTCACACCGAAAGCGTGTGCGTTCCAGAGCGGTAGCTGCTGGAATGCACTGCGATCGATAAGAAACTTCCCCTGCGTTTTGGGGCGGGAGGGGGCGTGGCGGTGCATTGTATTCAATGGCACCGCTTCCACGTCCCCCCGCCCGCTGCGCGATCGGACACCTGACAAAACTTTGCCAGCGTTCCGTTCCACTGCAAACGCAAAAAATAGAACTTGCCTTGAATTCTAGGTTATGTTTATAACTTTTAAAAGGCTTGAAATAAAGGTACTCAAAGTTTGTCAAAGTCGTAGCTTTAGGTGTTTTAATTTGGGATGACTTTTTCCCAGAGGTGTTTAAATGCCCAATATAGAGAGGGGACTGTAAACAATTGAACGGTAGGAGGATGAGACGAACATAGCAAGAGCTCTGTGGTACCAGCGTACCTATTGCATGAATACTGTAGGCATCAACTCCTGCCTCATGAGGTACTCCTCTCTGATTGAGCAAATCTCCCTTCCTTACACCCAGTGAGACCCAGTTGGAGACAGCGTTCTCCACGTATGTCCAGCTCCAATAATATCCACCAACCCGTTTGGTACCAACAACCCTGAAGAATTTTGGGCGCTGCTTAAATACATCCCCACAAATTTGGACTTCATGGCCTTGGTTACCTGTGGGGGGACAGCCCTCTTGCAGGACATTCATAAAGTTCGACAAGAGGTGTAGGACCTTTCCTTGGAGATCATGGAGAGTTCCACCTCGTGCTCCACTAATGATGCAAAGTTGCACACCCTGTAGAAGGAATCCTCTACATCGGCCGCCCATATGGCCCAACCGCAGCTGCCGATGCAGAAGCTTGCAAGATCATGGTAGGATGAATAACCTATACATCAGAGGTTTTCCATAAGCCACCCTAGCCCCTTATTTCCAGGCAATGGTCCAAGCAATTCTGAGCGGTCTACTAAATGATAGCACCCCGGTAGAAATGATCCTGGACCACGTTCACCATACCCTAGGCCTGCAGACCGTTTTCAACCACGGGGATGTCCTATGCAGAGTGAACTTCACTGTAATGGGAGAGATCCTGCTATGAGCCTGGCAAAAAAGAGCTATAGAAAACGACCGTTCCATACTGCAGGTAATGTCAGACCTGTCATGCAACACCCTTTGATGTTCAGCTTGCATGTGCCCTCTGCTAGACAAAATTCTTGGCCACTTACCGATACCATAGAATATCATCTACATTTGATTATTCACAAGGGCGATGCTCTCTATTTCGTTCGGCGTCTGTCAGATGTTCCAGGATTCTGTGCCTTCCTGAGTATCGATCTGGTTCCAACAGAAAACTGGCTATGTTGCTTTTTGGTTGTGGACTGCCTGAATTCTGACCCTAATGCAGAACTGGAGGCTTAATCCCTGATCCTGATTGTACAGGTTCCTTGCACCATAGACCAGCAGATTGAGAAACTCCGAACTCTACCCTTAAGGAAAAATATCTCCACAACCCCTTTTGTATGTACAGCGTTCACGTTTTATCTCTAAACTGAAGGGACTGAATGTTCCTGAGAATCAAAGGCTGATGCTGACTGACTTCAAAGTGCAAATTGCTTCCCTTCAGCAAATGCATTTTAAAGTTGACAGAATTCCTGCAATGAAAGATAAATTCATTTCCATCACCTACTATAGCTACTCGCCAGAGAAGAAGTCCCGGGGGGGTTTGGGTCGTCAGTATAAATATATCATATATGGTCCCTTGTTGCGGGGAAGGAGGGCTGTATCCTTCTGGTTAAGAGAACAGCACCCAAAAGATAACTCTTGCTAACGTGTATCTCCCTAACCAAAATCAAATAACAAATAACCTTTCTTGAACCAGTACTTGCTGTGGTAGACAACTTTATGGAGGGCATGTTGCTTTTTGAGGGAGACTTTACCCTGATACTAGACTTGCAATTCAATTATTTCAGGTTAATTTGACATCTATCTTTCACAGCTCTTAAACTCCTTAAGAATGGCTCCACCAGCTAACAGATGTATGGTAGATCCATCACCCCTCCACCAGGCTAGTATAAGTACAGTATAAGTCTTTATATCAGCTTCCGGTAATGCCCTGCACAACAGACTTGATAAAGGAGGAGCAGCACTAAGATCTAGTGATGCTGTACTTGCTTCCACAGTGCTATCACTTTAACACTTAGAGGTTTCTGAAGGGAGACCATAACCTTATTAGTAAGATGAAGCTCCTTCATTGTCCAGATAGCAAGCTGACAGAAACTCGGTGACCAACTTTATTAGTTATTGGCAGTATAGAAAATATAGCATAGCAACCTAGGTGT